TGCGAAATATTTCAAATTTTTGATTTTGCGAAAGTTTTCGAAATATTTTGCACATTTTTGCATTATTTTTGCGTATCACAAATTTTTGCGCAATATTTTGCACATATAAATTTACTGATGTAGCAGTTCATACAGACGGTATCACCTAGACAAACATAGTTTGGCAAAGTATTGTTAACTTGGACATGAGCGAGAAAATTCTCAGTTACCCCTCTGGCAAATAGTAATAACACATGGACCAATAAGAGGAGTCATTGGCGGCATATTTTTCCCTTCTAATAAAACTTCTTGAGAATATTAATTATCTCTTGATTATTTTGCACAATAGTTATTAACGTCCTTTTGAAGTTATGTACAATTAAAATTTTTGATTTTTGTTAGTGAAATGTAGAATTCTTAAAAAGTACTTTAAAGTGTATAAATTAATTACCTGGGCAATTGAATCGATCAGCCAATTAGACGAATGTCCTTCTATGAGTCCTTAGCTATGCTTTATACAGTACTTAGAACTACTCTAACCCAAGTTGGCAATAAATATACTTTATTGAGAAAATTACCAATAGAGCGAATGGAGCTCACTAGAACAAATAAAGTAAATGAAGTGAATAGAGCCAATGATACTAATAGAGAACCTAATAGAGCCAGTGAAGAACCCAGTTTAGATAATGGCTCCAATAGAAATATCTAATAAAGCTGAAAAATAAGGTTCTAATTTCTTACCTCATATATTAATAGATCATCCTAATGATAAACAGATCAAACAGATCAATGTCAATAGAGTTGGTTGGCTTCTATTGGCTTCATTTAAAAATTATTCTCAATGGAGCAATGGAGCAATATCAATGGAGTTGTTCTCTATTTGTTCTAATAGATAAATATGCCAACCCTGCTCTAACCCTAACTATAATGTGGTTTAGTTTTTATACATGACTTTTTACTAAACATGTTTGTTTTAACTATTATGTTACACCTGATCTTAAATCTGTTATGTACAAATAGTTATATGTTTATAAAAAAAAATTCTTGCAACATTTTAAGTTTTTTCTACGAAGCTTTAATAATAATCTAACCTTTGAGTATTTTCAAGATGTTTGCACCCTACAACATACTCTAACTCTTATAAACAAGGTTTTCCTTTCTACTGTATTTAGTATTCTTATACTACTCTCCTATATAGAGTTACAGGTGCTCTGGTATAAGATGTAAATCTAAAGAAATAGGTTAAGACTAATCAGTATTTTATACTAACCACTCGACTAGATGAACGAGTGCTCTGGTATAGTTATAAACCTGAATAAACCAGGTTGTGCCTTTAGCATTTTGCACTAATCACCTGAGGTGTTTTAGCAATATTATAAATCTAAAAAATAAAGTTATATTGCTTTACCGGTTTTCTAGTATTCTGCACAGATACGTATTATTTTACTGACAATCACTTCACAGACAACTTAGTTCACTGACAATCAATTTACAGACAAGTTCATTTCACCGACAATTATTTCACTAACAGCTCATTTCACTGACAAGTATTTTTTATAAATTACACTAACCTTAGCTCTAATTCTAACCTGACACTAACAACAATGACTAGAATTATTTTGTTGGCGAAATGTTGCTGGTGAAATAATTGTCAGTGAAATAAACTTGTTGGTTAATTAATTGTCGATAAACTAAGCTGTCGGTAAAGTGATTGTTGGCAAAATGCACACCACCCATTCTGCACTAACTACTCAACTAAACAAGTGGGTGCTTTGGTAAGGCATATAAATCTGAGGTCTTAAATTTAAAGCTTTAACTTTGTTGTTAACTATATATAGTTTCAATTTCTCTGATCTTTACAGCTAAGTTTCTTTTAGACTATACTGTATATTAGAAACTGACGCTTGGTGCAACATTCTCTCATTAGGGTTTAGATTAAGTTTATTGCTAGTTATATAAAAATTCTACTAGGTTTACAGAAATTCGTCTTGCTTAACTTGGTGTTTTTTATATAAGAAGCTTATATGTTGCTTTTTTTGATTAATTGCTCACTGGTTTTCTCTTTTCAAAGCGAAGATAATGTTCACAAGAAGAAAAGGGAGGTTTCTTCCTTGAAATAATAAAGTTCTTCTTAGAAAAAGTAATCTGACTATTTTGATATGCCTCTACATGACAATTAGGACTAGTAGACAATATTGTTAAAGCCAAGTATCTGAATATTATTATTTGATTTTAATAAATAATTTATTTTAAAAGTTAATTTTTTTTTTTTATGAGGTGTGGCGATCTAGTGTAGTAGTTAGGTTGTCACCCTCACCAAGTAGCAGGTCAAGAGTTCAAAACCTACTGATGGCGAAAATTCGAATAATAACCTGTGTTATGGCAAATGTTTGCTGTTGATCAGTTGGGATAGGATACCTGTAACTATGGTCACACCAGCATAACTAGCAGGTCTGGGGCATCCATGCAACCTTGAGTTATACAGAGGAATGCAAACCGGCAATGGGCGGTACAAACACTTAATAAGTCTCTAGGTTATGTAAATCCGTAGGACTGGGAAGAAAGAAGCCTATTTGGAAAGACCCGAGTGAAGAGATAGCACAAATCTTCAACGATACTACTGTAAAGGCTAGACTCAGGAAAAGGAAACTGAAGTGGAAGAACTAGACAGCGCATGATCGGTTTGTAGTAAAGCCGATTCACCAACCAGGCTGCCGGGTTAACCGAAGGAAAAGGTCATGGCAGAGCCGATAAACCAAGAACAGGTCACAGTCCTTCCGGGCCATCTGAATTGGTAGTCTAGAACTAAAGCGGAGGGAACTAAAGTACTGGGAATATGCTATGAAGTGGGTACCGAGGTTTGGGTAAACTTTGCAAGGGCAGAGCCCTGTTGATAGGACTATAGAGTGGGTAGGTTGTTGACAGGGAGGCACCCTGAGCCTTGCTACTAGGTGATAGTACTCATTAAATTGGGTACAGCCTGGGTTTCTAGTACAGAAAGGGAAACCAAATGTCGAGTTAGACGGCATCTTGGTGTACGAGAACTTATGGGGCTAATTGCAGAGTGGGTACAGAAGATCAGAGGGTTTAAATAAGCAATCTTCTAGCAGGTTGCAGGTATGGTAGCTAGTGTAGAAACTTCGGGCGGACTACTTAAATAGGCAACCAAAAGTTGTATATGTGACTAGTTGTACGCTCATCAATGTACCAAAAAATGTTTGTAAATAAACATATAAAAACACAATAAAGCGTTAGCACCCGTGACATTGGTTTAATTGATAATCCGCCAGTCAACAGAAGAATAAACATAGTATAACGTGACGCAAATCACTATGTAAATCCAATAT